TTCAGGATTAGGTATATATATATATATATATGATTGAATTAAGGTAGGAATTGTTTTCATCTCTGCTAGCCTCTTAGACTATTAATAATAATAGAGAATTCTTACTTGAAATCCCAGGTTTTAAGAAAATACTGGTAAAGTGTCGAGAATTAATAGGCTTTCATTTTCCCATGAACCTAAAGAGGATAATGGTGGTTGATTTCAATCTGTGGCATGAAATAATTAACACACCTTCTTGAGGGGTAACAGTATCTGGAGTGACTCGGGCATGGGGCAAATTGGGATCAATTGCAATGACACAGTAAAAGGTTTTATGAATCATGGCTTAGTAGGATGGCTGTTATCATACAAATTAATCCCCACATACCTTAATGATTCATTTTTTTTTAAGTGTGACACGTATAAGACCTTTTATGAATAATGTTAGGGTCAGCTGAGTGCCTGAAAATTGAATATTTAGGGAAAGATCTAAATAATAGCTTTGGGAAAGATTGAAATAATAGCTCATAAAGAATATTGACTTGTGAACTCTCAGGCTTGGAAGGTAGCCTCGTTCTGTTCATTGTGTCTAAATCATAGGTGATCTATTATCTAATTAATGAATCAGGGCTGACTCTGATCAAATTCTCCTGCCAGAGTTCTGTTTATGTAACATGCTTAAACATAGAGAATGAATTATCTGGCAGTGAGCACCAAACAACCGTGCTGCCGCAGCGGCTGGCAAGTCAGATCCCGAGGCCACTCCAGCAATCCTTCTTACAATTCATGTGAAATACCTACTGCAGGACAAAGCATCTGACAATTTGGAGGTTGTTTCTGTAGTCCTCGCAATCCACAGTGAATTAAAGTCTAGACTCGGTGATTCTTCAGGGTCGGGGAGGAGGGAGAAGCAGCAAATCGGATATGGCCAAAACATTACAGAGGTAACAAGGAATCAAGGATGCTGTTGCCAGTCTGTGCATCGTGAGGGAGGCAAGAAGAGCCGAGCCACCGCGGGAGCAGGAACAGCAGCATTCTCTGAAGCAGTCACATAAGCAGCTGCAGGAGTAGGCCTCCTCTTTTCAAAAGCAGGATACGGCAGGGGGGTGAAATGCAAGATTCTCTGATGTTTGAAAATCTCCCGAGTTGAGAATGGCTACTGTAAAAACGTTGCCAAGAAACTCTGACAATCTGGACAGTCATAACTATGTGTTAGCAGTACTTCCTTCAGGAAAATTAAGGCTACTTCTTGTAGATTTTTGCAAATAGGAAACCCCCCACCCCCCAAAGAAGAGGATCTCAAATTACCCCAAAAAAAAAAAAAAAAAAGATAAATAGAGAAGAACAAAGTTTTGGCATGCCTGCAGGTACAGTGATTTTTTTAGAAACTACCTAGGAGGCAGAAGCTAAGTGTTGATTTGCCCATGCCTCTTACCTGGGAGTAGAAGGTGGGAAGAAATGGACAGAGGCTGTGACGAGAAGACAAGGCACGGTGCAGCTTGGTGAAGCCACACGCTGATTGCGTTCTGCCCCCTCTTCATGCAGTGCTGCGGGCTGGTGCATCGCCGGCGAGTACGGGTGTCCTATGTAAGTTTCTATTGCTGTACCATTGCTGCTGGGAGCTGAAAATACTATTCGTGTCTGTCTAGTGCATGTTGCCTCTTTCAGATGTTTATAATCCCTGTGCTGAACCAACCGGACAGTCCAATCATTCTGTACCACGAGTTTTCAAGGCACCTGAGGGATATGAGATTCTGAGATTTTCTCTCTCTTTTTTTGTTTTTTCCTGGAGATGTTTTTAATCTGTCTTTTGTGCCATATTACTTTGATAAGGTTAGAAATAACTTGCACGGGGATTGGTTTGGGAAGTCCATTGTCTCAGAGGTCTGTTCAGTTCAAACCAGTTGATATCCTCTTTTACCTAGAGTAGTTCTGTTTTCCTATTGGAATTTATGACATGGGGGGAAGTTAAAAGGAATACTATAGAGTTTGTCAAATTAAAGATAGCCATGGAGGCTAATGTGAAATCCTATTTTGAACAGCTTCAGAGAAATAGTAGATGATAATCATTTGATGGATGACACAGCTGTTGCAGCAACACCCGTGTCTACGACAGCTTTATCATCCTGTGACTCACTGAAATAGCCTTTATTTCATGGACCTGCTGTGTTTTGCAAAATGGCTGTCTGAGTATTAAATTCTACAAGGCAGGCTCACACAAATACTGAAGTATCACTACTTAATATGATTGGATGCTAATTGAAATATGCCATGCAGTATGCTAGCTGACAAGCTCGGGGGAAGCACTTGCTGTATTTTCGTACTCCTTTTGCGTGCAGGCACGGTATTTCCAGGGATTGATATGAAAGAGAACAGGAGGCTGATGCAGCCTAGCCAAACTGCAGTGCTTGAATTGCTTAATTCTGATTTGAAATTCCTGGCTGCAAAACAAATAGAAAATTGACAAAGAAAGCTAATCGATACTTAAGGGTATGAGATAAAGAAATCTGTGACCTTGGAAAATGGGCCACCAGCAGCGATACACATGAGACTTCCAGGACAAACAAGGTCAAAATCTGATCAGCTCTAAATAATAAAGTTGGAGACATGGGGTGGGAGGGTAGGGGTAGAACTCAACTCCTATCGAATTGTCAGGACAGCATTCAACTTTATTAAATAAACGAAAGCCTGAAAAGCCCCTTGAATGTAAAGATGCTTGTGATGGTTACATATGTAATGCCATTTGTGTTTTGAATGCAACAGTTGATACGCCAGGAGTCACTGTAGCAGAGAGGTAGCCAGCCAAGATTTTTAAAGACGACAGCTACAGGGATGGGTGGTTTTTACCCAATTAAAAAATTAATAGTTTTTCAATAAGATTTGGGAATAAGTGTTACAAACTTTTTAGAGTGTAAAATTGTCCACATTTAAAAAGATATGAAGTTAAAAATAAAAGTAAATTGAAATTAAAAGTCCATATTTTCATGGAATAATAATGCATGAGAATTTCATAGCTTTATGTGTTTCTGTTTACTCTTATATAGTGAATGAGAAGAACACTGGGGTTTTGTGTGCCTATTGAATACAGGCTTTCTGCAATAAGTCCGCATTTGAACAGGGCAACAATTTTTACTCTACTTATTTTTGTTCTTACATTGAACATGCAAACAGATAGAAGAAACAGGATAATCTTGACTGAAAAATGTAGAGACTTGGTTCACCTGTTAATTCTCAAACTTTTTTACCCTGCATTTTGGTTAAGGAACCACAAAATATATAGCATAAATATATTTTAAAGATAAAAGAAATCTTTGGTCACTAGAAATACATTTTTCTTTACTTTCAAATGTTTCTTTCTTGGGAACCTTAGCCTGTAACCCACCTGCTGCTGTTTAACCCCTCTTCTTTGACACTCTAAGGATGGCAGTTTTCTTTGTAGATGGCCAACTCAGAGTGGTAGGTATGTAAAATCTAAATCCCTTTTTATTTCCTTGGAGGAAAAGAACCCACTGTGCATCTATCTGTGACTGAGATGTCTCATTAACCTACAAAACTGATGAGTCTGGAAGCTGCTCATTGAATAACTAACCAGGTTGACAGAAGAGCAAAGGATAACTAGACCCTTATACAGTAGTAGTAGTTGGGACCTTGTCACATCGATTGGACTGTCCTGGTGTCCTTTCTCTAACCTATTGTCAATTTGGAGTATGATGACTCACATCATACCAGAACTAAATTCTAATATTTATATGCATATGTACATATATATATCAGATATCTGTTATATATGATTATATATAAAATGTATTTTAGATATATAAATCAGTTGACATATGTATGTGTGTGTGTGCATCTCAAATCCTCCACTCTTATACCTTTTTTTGTGTGACAGCTTTCTTAAGAATTCCTCCTACTCAAACATTGTCTCTCAGGAAGAATATGAAAGTTATGTGGGTTTCAAAGAAAGTTATATGCGTACACCACAGCTCTTCATTTCTAGGTTTTTACCTTTCTAGCTGATGTTTTTATTAGGCTCTCTCCTCTCACTCACCTGTTTAATGTTGCCTTCAGATTCAAAACTTCTGTGAGAAGCTGGCCCTGCCTGTTGGCTGTAGCCCAGTCTTTCTCTTTGAGACTCAGTGTATAAGCCTCTCTTTTTTGACTTTATTATTTATGTTCAAGATCTAGTCTTCATTCTTTTGATTACTCCTAACAATCAGTCTTTTAGAACTCAGCTTTATAGCTCAGAAGTAACATCGGTGTTTTCCTAAACTGTCTTGCTGTTTCATTAAGGACATGAAAATCTGTGAGCTGAAATAGTACTCTCAAATTTAAAAGGATGTATAAACATTGGAAACTCTTTGTGCATTTCTGCAAAACACTTCTAAAGTGTTGACATTTGCATGTCTGGGGAGCAGAGACTGATATTCTTTTTGGTTAACTTTTTATTGAAGTATAGCATATATGATGCGGAAAATTGAATGAGGAAGTCATAAGCGATGAACTTGAAGAAATTTCACAAAGAGACCACTATGTAACACCCAAATCTCAAGAAACGAAGCAATGTGGGCACTCCTCTCTTCCAATCTCAACTATTTCTCTCTTCCGCCAGGTTATCCACTAATCTGACTTCTAACATTTGTAGATTAGGTTTTCCTGTTTCTGAATTTTATTCACATGGACTCATACAGCAGGCACTACTTTCTTGATCTAGCTTATGTTGCTAATCATTATATTTAGGAGAATAATCTATATAGTTGCATATAGTTGAAGTTGTAGCTTGCTCATTGTCACAGCTATATAGTATTCCATTGTGTAAATATACTGTGATTTAGTTACCCATTCTGTTAATGGGCATTTGGGTAGTTTCCAATTTGGGACTTTCATAAATAATGCCGTCACACACTACAGCATATTACATTGCAAATATTTATGCATGCATTGCCATTGGATGCAAATCTAGGAATGAAACTGTCAAGTCATAGGGTATAATATATATACATTCAGTTTAAATAGATGCTGATAAACAGCTTTCAGCTATCAGATGCACTCAATCAATGCACACTCTCACCAGTCATGCCTTTCCTAGTATTACTGTATGATGTTTCACATTTTGGCCCATCTGGTACGGGGCGGGGGGGGGTCGGGGGGAGAAGTAACCCATTATGGTTTTGCTTTGCATTTCCCTGATGACTAATGAAATCAAGCATTTTAAACATATATTTATTGACCATTTGGATGTCTTCTTTTGTGAAGTTCCTGTTCAAGTCTTTGCATTTTCTACTAGGTTATCTGTCATTGGAGGGATTTTAGAATGGTCAAGGGGAAAGCCACTGGTGACTAGCATGACAAAATTATTGAAGACATGATATAGAGATCCGCATAGTTAGGAGGCAGAGTCAGACTAAACCTGGGCTTGAATCTTTACATGATCTTTTATTTACTGTGTGATAGTGGAAAGTTATTTTTTATTTTTATTTTTTGAGTTGGAGTCTCACTCTGTCGCCCAGACTGGAGTGCAGTGGCTGCTGCCGGCCACCACAGCCTCAACCTGCTGGGCTCTGATCATCCTTCGCCTCAGGCTTTCAAGTAGCTGGAACTACAGGTGCACACTAGTGGAACGTTCTTAAGCCTCAGCTTTCTCATCTATAAATCAGGATAATAGCGAAACTTTGAAAGTTTATCTTGAGAGTTAAAATGAAATAATGTTTGTCTGCACCTACATGTGGCCTGATACGAGGTTGTTTTCAAAGACCTGCTGATGAAATGAGATCGTGAGGCAAAAGAACTTGCTCTTGATTTGGTTACTGCCTATGTTAGTTGCTAAATACTCTTAGTCTTTGATAAATGAAAGGCTTTGATAAATGGTTGGATAGTGGAGGGCGACCTAGTCCATATATTACTCATCTCTTATAAGATTGCACTTTCCTTAAAGTGTGATAACCTTTGAACTTTTAGAACATTTAAATGTAGTGGGATCACCAAATGATATTGCTTTTGTATATATCATATAACTTAAGGAGTTTAGTTCTCTAATAAAATTATGATTGTTAGGGCTACTCAATACACATCCACAGTCTTTAAAAGTTTACTAAATACTTTTATACCCACAATTTCATTTGACATGAAAGTAATCTCTCAGAATAGGCAAAGCAAATGATGCGATCACCATGTTATAGATAAGAAAACTTCAAATCAGTGAAATAAATTGTATTGCCAAAGGCCACAGAATATGAAAGTGGTTAAGTTGAGATTCAAACTGAAATCTACTCTCATTCTATATATAACATTTTGTTCATCTTGTTTGGAATGTCTTTCCAAGTTTGAATAATTAAATTTAATTAACATGACAATTTTGTAGTGCTTTCGAGTATAAAAAATCAATTATCACTGAATTGGAGAGGCAGTGAAGTGCCAGTTCATAGGATTTTCTGGTCAGTAGAATGTAGGTAATATACTTCTTTACATTATAGTTTTTCACTTACAATTCATACTTTTCACAAATGATGAGAATTATTCTACCAGTCAAAATATGTATAAGCTATATACTTATTATACATGTCTTGGAAAATATCTTTTCATGTTAG